CACCCACGCCCCCACAGACCCTGATATCCTCTCCCCACTGCAGAGCCCGACATGCACCCCCCCCCCAAACCCAGCCTCCCACAACCCAGATTCCCCGCCCAACACCCCCCACACACATCCCCCATTGGTATCTTTGACCCGCAAAATCAATCCGAGAATTTAAAAACAAAAACAAACCAACCCCACACACTAGAGGCCAACTGCCCGTCGGTGGCTCTGCAACCCGCGCCCTGCCCGGAGCAAACCGCGTGACAGTTGTTTTGGTGACATCATAAAGGACAAGCCAGAGGCACTAGGGCCAGCGAGCAGTGCACCGGCCAGAAACCTGCTTGGTTTTACCCTTGTCCCTGCCCCAAGGAGGTAGCAACCTGCCTTTGTCCTGTCTCAAAGGTTACATCCAGACTGCAAGCCTCTTTTGAAAGAGGCTTTTTCGAAAGAACTGGCCTGGCATCGCTGACCCACAAAGCAGGGCAGCCCGAGGCCCAGGTGTCTGGGCACATTCACTCCGCATCTGCTCCTGATCCCTCGGTGTGATTCGGAGAAGGACGGTATCTCGCATGGCAACCTGGAGGAAGGAGGAGGGGAACCTATTACCATTCCTAGGAGGCCATGTGTGCCAGATCCGGCATGTGCTGGACACAGGAGGAAGACGCTCTCTGCAACCCCCCGCCCTCTCCGGTTAAAGTCAAATCTCATAGTTGGATTTCTTACCTCCTATTGGTCATGGCCACACCCTAGGCAGTTATAGTGCAGCATGGATACAGCCAGAAGAGAACCACATCCAGGCCAGACTGGGAGGAAGGGTGATGATGGCAAAGTGGGGATTAGAAAGCAGAATGGTGCCTGAAAGAGGAGAAATAGAGAAAGCTGCTCAGAATAGCTTATTGCCACTATATAAAACCATGGTGCACCCACACCTTGATTACTGTGTACGGATGCGGTCGCCTCATCTCCAAAAAGATCTCTTGGCGTTGGAAATGGTTCAGAGAAGAGCAACAAAAATGACTAGGGGTTTGGAACGGGACCCATAGCTAGAGAGATTAAAAAGATGGGCACTTTTCAGCTTAGAAAAGAGGAGACTAGGGGGGGATATGATAGAGGTCTATAAAATCCTAACTGGTGTAGGAAAATATAAATAAGGAAAAGTTATTTATGTGTTCCCATAATATAAGGACTGGGGGGTCACCCAATGAAAAATTAATAGGCAGCAGGTTTAAAACAAACAAAAGGAAGGTTTTCTTCATGTAGTGCACAATCAACCTGTGGAACTCCTTGCCAGAGGATGTGGTGAAGGCTAGAACTTTAACAGGGCTCAAAAAAGAGCTAGTTAAATTCATGGAGGTTAGGTCCACCAATGGCTATTAGCCAGGATGGGTAGGAATGGTGTCCCTGGCCTCTGTTTGTCTGGAAATGGATGACAGGAGAGGGATCACGTGAGGATTCCCTGTTGTGTTGCCTCCGTCTGGAGCATCTGGCACTGGCCACTGTCAGTGGACAGGATACTGGGCTAGCTGGACCTTTGGTCTGACCCAGTCTGGCCGTTCTTACGTTCTAACAGAGGGGATCTCAGAAGGACCTTAGGGGAGCCAATTTGTCTCTTTCTAGGTGAGGGAAGGAATTTACTGAGAACTGCTCCTCCTCTCACGGGGGAGAACGGTGCCAACAGTTCCTTGCAGACAGACGCAATCATGCCTGTTGAAAGGTCCCAGCACCTGGCATACCCGGCTGCAGCACACTCTTCAGGATTGACACAGTGATCCAAGCACTGAAATGTTGGGCTTCCCTCGTAATCACACAGCATTAGTCAGATTCAAGAGGCCCTGTCACCACCAATCCCAGCACTTGCAGGCTCAGCCGTGTTTTCCAACCTCCTTTGCTCTATCTAATCTCACAACGTTTTATTGCAATCGACAAGAGACAACACGTTGTCTGACCCCAGCTCCACGGCTCTGTAGAGTCCTGGGGAGCTTTCATTCTGCAACGGCTCTTGATCTTATCACGAGGGAGCCACCCTTTCTATGAGAGATGAGTCAGTTCTCAGTGCTAGTGCAGAGAGGGTGCCTCCATGGTCAGCTTAATATTTTGTTATCCGAAAGCCTCCTCTCCACCAGTCATTTGTCTGCAGAAGAGGGGGGGCAAATTTCCTGGGTGGGTCTCATGGTTAAGGCACTATAACTTGGGAGAGCTGGATGATTCAACAATCTTCCTGCTGGCATATTCATTTTCATAGACGGAGGCAGCAGCACGACCACTCCACGAATGTCGGTTCTGGGAGCTACTGACCGCGCACGTCCAATCAGCTATCTGGGCTCTATTCGGCTGCACACCAAACCCGAAAGCACGTCCTTCCATTAACAGCTGGGAGTGCAGGATAGCAGATCCCAGACAAACTCCCGGCATCACGCCACTTAGCTCATATCGCTCCAGGGAAGAACGTGAGGTATCTGCAGGCATTCAGGCTCCATCTCCCAGGCAGCCCCTTGAGTGTATTTACATGCAGAGGTGAAAGCAAGTGGATGCACCCTGGTGCGCAGCTCCGGGAAGAGCTGCTGCAAAAGCCAGCAGGGAGCTATTTAAAAAGCTGGGAGGGAGCTGGGTTGCAATGGGACAGGACCTGGAAGAAATTTTAAGATACTGTCACTGCTGTTTACCTGGGTCGCTAAATGCCCAATGCATGTGCAAGCAAGACGCCAGCCAATCGCAATGCCAGTCTTGCAAATCCTCAAGTGCTGCCACGTGCGTTTGGCTGTTTGTCCAGGAAAAATCCTTGATTCCCTTTAAATGACACCAGGAGCTGGATTTTCAAACCAGAGAAAGTTGCTCCTGAGCTTCTGGCCAGCACTTTCCTAGCACAAGGCTGGCTCCTTGCTTGCACATGTATTGGGTATTTAGAGACCCATTGCCAAGAGATTAACTAGGCTGTGTCTGAACATGACCCAGGCAGGAGTCTGACTTAGCTAGTCACATTGGAATCCACACCCCTCAGTAAGGCAGCACCAGTTAGCTGTAAAAAGTTTAATTGAGTAACTTGTGTTGCAGGCTTTAGAGATGGTGCTTGCTTATGCTATATAGAAACATAAGGGTGTTCTAGACTACAGGGTTTTTTCAAAAAACGTGGCCTTTTTTGGAAAAATGTTCCCCTGCGTCTAGATTGCTGCCACGTTCTTTCGAAAGTAAATCGAAAGAACGCGGCAGTTTTTTCGACCGCGGCAAACCTCGTTTTATGAGGAAGAATGCCTTTTTTCGAAAATTCTCTTTCGAAAAAAGGCACTGTGGAATGCAAACTGTGCTTTTTCGGAAGAGAGCATCCAGACTGCCTGGGTGCTCTCTTTCGAAAACGCGGCTTGCTTTCTCGAAAGTACTGGTTGTCGTCTAGACGGTCTTTTTCGAAAGAGGCTTTTTCAAAAGTATTTTTCGAAAAAGCCTCTTTCAAAGGAGGCTTGCAGTCTAGACGTAGCCTAAGGAGGCCCAAACATCTATTCCTTACAAACAGACTTGACAATAGTCAAGCCAAGCTTGGCAAAATACAAGTAAAGTGAAGTCAGACATTTCAGAGGCAAGTTAGGGATACGCTTTGGCATAACCCCACATTGTTTTGGTCCTAGCATTTTATTTAACGCACTAATGCTCTGCAAAATGCTACTGTATTGATAAGCATCAGAGGGGTAGCTGAGTGAGTCTGTACAGGATAAACTTACGAAAACAACAAATGGTCTGGTAGCACTTTAAAGACTGACAAAACATGTAGATGGGATCATGAGATTTTGTGGGCACAGCCCACTTCTTCAGATGACCGGAGTATTGGATGTCCAGAACCAAAATTAAATAGGGGAGAAGGGAGGGGGAGGGGAGGAAAAGGAACAAAAAGAGGCAGTAGGTATATAAATATGAAAGGGAAAACAGACGTAACAAGCAAAACACCAAGGCTAGGTCTACACTGCAGGCGGCTGTTCCTGCACAAAAACTTGCAGAGAGTCTACACTTCACGCACATTCTTGCGCAAGTAAATTTACAGTAAGGCATCGGAACAGAGGGCTTCTTGCACAAGAGTTAGTCCTCTCCCCATGGCTGTGTCCACACTCAGGGGTTTTTTCGGGAAAAGTAGCCTTTTCCCGAAAAAACTTCCCCTGCGTCCAGACTCAAGCCGCGTTCTTTCGAAATTATTTCGAAAGAACGCGGCTTTTCTTTCGATGGCGGAAAACCTCATTTCACGAGGAAGAACGCCTTCTTTCGAAAGCTCCTCTTTCGAAAGAAGGCGTTCTTCAATGTAAAGAGGCCGTCTTCGAAAGAGAGCATCCAGACTCGCTGGGTGCTCTCTTTCGAAAAAGCGGATTTCTCTTTCGAAAGATCCGCCTGCAGTCTAGACGCGATCTTTCGAAAGAGGCTCTTTCGAAAGATGCTTTCGAAAGTGCCTCTTTCGAAAGAAGCCTGCAGTCTAGACATAGCCCATGAGAAATAAGCCCTCTTGAGCAAGAGCTCTTGTGCAAAAAGGCAGCGTGGACGGGCAATAGGGGTTTCTTGTGCAAGAACCCCCTGTGGCTAAAATGGCTCTCAGAGCTTTCCTGTGCAAGAGAGCAGTCACACCGCCATGGACGCTCTTGCGCAAAAGCACATGGCAGTGCGGACACGCTCTTGCGCAAGAACTCTTGCGCAAAACAGTTCTTGTGCAAGAAGCCTGCAGGGTAGACATCCTGCTGCTTTTTTTCAGGAAGAACGGCTCTTGCGCAAGAGGGGGGGTTTTGCACAAAAAGGAGCCGTGCAGATGGCTCCTTTTTGCGCAAAAGCCCCTTGTGCAAAATTGGCAGCTCATTAAGTATGCAAATGAGGCACGGCAATATTCACCGCTTCACCTTATTTGCGTATTTTCCAAAGCCCAAGCCCCTCTATGGCCTAGGGCCCCCTCAAGCCTAACACCAGCCCCAGTGACCCTTTAAGATGGGGTCAGGACCCATGTTAGGGTGTCGAACCACAGTTTGAAAACCGCTGCCTCAGGGGGCGTGTTTTATGCAGAACTAGGAGCTCTTGGGTTCTTCCTTAGGGATGAAGGTCCGGTGACTGTGTTCTCTAAGGAAAAAAACAGGACACCCCCCCCCACCCCTCACCTGAGGGCCCCCTGCCCCTCAGTGCTGTTGTGGGTTGTGGGGTTACTGCAATGTGGGGTTACTGCGACCTTGCGCTGGCTCCCCAGCAAGGCTGTTGCCTAGTGCTTGGAACCTACCGGGGCCCCCTCAGCAGGCTGTTGGCCAG